ATTTTAAAAACTGAATCTTAAACATCCAGCAAATAAGTTAACAGCCTTATATTAAGAGCACTGGGCTTTAATGTCTATCTCTCTATCCTGTAGGTGATAACTCCTTATCTTAAGTTGACCCAGGTTGTGTGTTCTTAAAGCAGTACCTCTGCAAAACATTAACAGGCAATCCTTAGACCATCTATAAGCAAAGTACGAACTAAAATTAACTAGGGTAAAGACATATTTAGTTTATATAATAGCTACCTTGAATTCTGGCAGGGTTATACATCATAATCCCCTGTTTGAGATCCTAGTAATCTTGGCAAAAACCAACTTTTGGACACAACTTTAAATGTACTGAAATCTGGCCTATTTTTTTCATAGTCTCTTTCACATGAGATGGGACATAGAGCCTTATCTCAAGTAAGGCGGGGCTCTTCATAAATCTTAAATACTATGGTTCTGAAGCTGATCTTTGCTTTTTAGACATCATTTTACAAAACCTATATAAATTGTTGCTCAAGTTTACATGGATATTAGCTAACACAACATAATATTACATCTAAAACATGAATTAAAGAAAGGCTGAAAGTTTTTAACCTTTTGTAGAAAAGTAGCAAAGTATTTTTGTGTTTTACAATAAAACCTTTACATAGATTAGGCTCTCATTAACTTAAAAATACATTTAAATTGTATCTCAGTGTAAAAAGTAACATGGAACTGTATATATCTTATTGATAACATGTCCAGTTGTAGAACACAAATGATATAAATAAGTCTTTAACATATTTTTTTAAAGCCTAAAATTACCATACAACTTTAGAACGCCAGCTTGATACAATGCTCTTTTGAAGCTTCTACCTTACAGACTTGTATACCTGGAAAATATGAACATATATTAATAGTATCATAATTAACCTTGCAAAAAGCTGTGTGCTTATATAGAACTAAGGGGGAGATGGTAGTGCTTAGATAAATGGCAGGCAACCCGTTTATTGGTAAGTTCTTCCAGATATCAGCTCCGGAGCCCAGGAATTAGTTCTCACTGGGGCTAAGGTTCTCTGCCAGCAAGATTTGAGATTGGCACCAGTGGGAGAGTTCACACAGGCAGGAACTTTTCATGCCACTGCAGAGAAGAAGGAGGTAGGAAGAAGAAGTCCTTAGGCGCCATGTTGGCATCACCAGCACCTGAAGAAAATCAGAGCGAATAAAAACAGAATGAAGATAAAGATTAAAGCAAAGGTCAATTTTTGGCAGAAGTTCCATGCTGGGGGACTGACAGAAAAGAGGCCAAGGGCCATGAGGAAGCTTAGAAGGACATAAAGACTCATGAATCCAGGATGATAGATTAAGAGGTTCTCCGAGCTCGTTGTCTCCCGCTGTCTGATGTCTGTTGCATTCCATCGTGCCTGGTAGTGAGCTTCATCACTGAGTGAACTGTTCTCTTGAAGATGTTGGGGGTTCATCGGTCATCAGAGGCCGGTAATGCCTAAGCAGAAGCTGGTTGAAAGTTTGATTAGAAACTTTCTGCGATTGGGTTTGGAAGTACTTCATTATGCAGAGTAAGACAGCACAAGAAAAGTATTGAAAAATAACAGTTGTTGTTTAACCATAGTTGTATAATTTTAATTTTTTTAAGATTACTTGCTCAATAACTTACACACATAGCCAACTTACACAGACCCTTTTTTATCACTTATTTAAACCCTCTTAATTACTTAATCATATAGACTCTTTTATCCAGAAACACATTTTTTCTCTATTAAATCTATATCTAGAACCTTTTAGTTTCTCTTTTCCATCTGTTAACCTCTTTCTGTTCACATTTTGAAACAATACTTGTAAATTTCTGAATTTAAGCAGATTATTTCATAGACATCAACATTTTATTAGGGTCTTTTTGAACACCTAGAAAAACTTATAAGCTTAATTTTAAAGATATCTTTACTTTTATCTGTTTACCCAATTTAAATTGAACCATTTGAATCACGTGAATTAAAGATATTTGGATCTATTTTTAAATTTTTTTATGAGCGCTCCTCATCTGTCAATTGTCATATCACTGCATGATATATGGACATACACACATATAGACATACCGACATACAACATGTAACACAAGTGTAACACATAACACAATAGTAAAGGCCTTGTAGCTTTTTTTAGGTGAAATCTCTATTGCAATGTTTAAAAACTCCACAGTTGATCAAAAATAGAACTGATCAGAAAACATTAACCCATCTGCAGGATCAAAATCATGAGCTCAAAAAAATACAGAATCTAAGAAAAAGCAAGAGTCCTAAAAAAGATGACTGGCCAGTAATTAGTAAATATCATATAATTTACTTTTTGGTTGGGGTCTAGTTTGAGTTCAGGTAAAAAGACACTTTTATTCTTTTTTTTTTTTTGGTCTGAGATCTGTCTCCTGCTGAGTGCTGCAGGCTTTTTTTATTTGCATATCAACTTAAGTCCTGGCTGAGGTCTGGAAAACTGGAATTCTGAGCAGAAACCTCATGTCTAAGGCATTTTAGCTATAAGTCATAATTTCCAGGTTTGGATGTTGAAAATTATGATGCAAGTTTAAGATACAATTTACAAAATTTTATATCTTTATATCTCTTTACATTAGAAAAACTTGCTCACACAAAACTGAAAATAGGATCTCTCTTGATAATATAAAAGTTACCATCAGAAGAAATTTTTTTTTAGGATCATTAAGCCACTTTTTTTTTGTTCTGAAGTTTCTAAAGTAGTATTAAGTTACATTAAATTACCTGAAAATTTTTAAAAAGAACCACACACTACCATGTGTATCCGAAATTAAGCTTTAAAAATTTCCAAGACTGTTGCTAATTAATGTCATTTCAATAAGCCAGACCAACGTTTTAATTTAGCACCTTTTTTTTTCTCCTGAACCTTACACACTGAGGGGAACAGATATCATATCATAATTTATTATCTTTGCCCAAGTTAATGCACTGGAATACCTAGTGAAATCTTCTCAGGCTACCCAGTTCAAAATTGAAACTCTTGAAAAAAATTTTTTATCCTAAGTATTTAAGTTTTTTTTTTTAGCATGAACTATCTGAAATCAAGCTAAACAATTGCTTAAACCCAACTTTTAACTGCAAGATAGTGCAATGCTTTAGAAACCCATTCAGATACCAGATTGTTACAATAAAAAAACAATCACCTTTTAGATACACATTCAGCCAAGATCATCCCCAAGAAATAACCTATAATATCAACACATTACTGCATTCATTGTCCCTTCTTTTTTTTTTTTTTTTTTTAGACAGAGGTGGAGTAATCCTTAAAGTGCAGGTAAGGGAGAGGGAGTTCCCCAAAGCAAAATGGCTGTGGCAGCTGCTGGGAGTCCCTTAGTCTCACCTTTTACTTACAGGATTAGTCCCTCCAGTTTGGTCTAACCCCAGGCACCAGACATTTCCCACATCTCTTAACTTTTCAGCAGTCAGCTCCCAAAAAGTTGATCCTCTCTTTGCAGTTGTTTCGAGTGCTAAGCTTCCCCAAGAAAGCAGAGTGGGGACTCCTTAAAAGTCCCCTCGGGGGTGTCAAAATTTGTGACTGAAAATTTGGTTCCCATCCTCCAAAGCCAATTAACACCAATTTAATAATGAGGACAGGGCTTTGAGAAAAGTCAAAGCGAGATGTCAAAGTTGTTAAATCCCCAGTAGGCATCTCCATTTGCACTCAAGCCGACTACGGGAGGGAAAGAAAACATTGCTTTCCTAATCTCACTTAACAAAGGGGAGTAAAGTTTGACAACCCGCTTTGGGCTGCATTTCCAAGCAACCCAACTCCGGGAAAACCCATTCGCTTCTTTGGCCCCGGTATTTGGTGATCGCTGCGGCGGGGGGGGCGGGGGGGGGGCTGTAACACTCGGGGGGTTTGGGACCCTGTCCCTTCTACCCCCACTACCCCCACGAGGGAGGGAGAGGGCCGGGTACCCCTGAGCCGCCTTTCCCGCTCGCCAGGAGGAGGGGGAGGGGCGGTCCCCCGCCGACCTTACCCCCACCCCGCCAGCCTGTCCCTCGCACCCGCCAGAGCACCACCCCCCTCCAGAGAGGGGAGGCGGCAAAGGGGCGGAGAGGACAGATGGGTGGAGGGGCCGGGAGGAACGGGGGGCGGGAAAGATCTGCCGTACCGCCGAGTTGAATCCTCCCGGCGGACTGCGCGGACCCCACCCATGCAGGAAGAGATTTTCAGGGGTCCTGCCAGGTTAAAACACATGGCTGTTGATCTAGATGGCCACTCGGCCCGGCTGAAAGACAATATCTCTGACTTTTCGGATTAGAGGGAGGTGGAGGGACCCTCCTGGGGGCCATTCAACTCCAAGGGTGGGCCATTCTGAAGCGCAGAGTGTCTGCCAGACCCAGCATTTCACTGAAAAAGAAAGATTCTGGGCCCTTGAGCGGGATCAAGGGTCAGGGACAGAGGCGTGGAATGGCTTTGTCCCATACTGGGAGTTACTCAAACACAGACAATACAAACGTGACATGGACACACAGTAAACGTTTCACAAGTTCAGAAGCAAAGATTAAAGACAGACAGTGAATTCAACCTGAGAAAAAGAATTGCCGGCAAAACCAAACGGGTTGGCAGCAGAGTACCTAACGAGGGCACTTTTGTCCCTCTACCAACTGAGGGCACTTCCGTCCCTCCCCGAGTCCTCCAAGGCGTCCCTTGGAGGGTGGCCTGTGGCTTCAGGACACGTCTGTCCACCACCGTCAGGGAGAACTTACGCTCTCCACTGGCAGCCACACTGCCAACCCAAACCAAACCTAGCCAAAAACCAAACCTGAACCAAGAAGCTCTGAGCGATCGCAAAGGAAAAACAAGGAGGAGAAGAAGAGGAAGAAGAAGAAGAAGAGGCGCCTTACTTACCCCCTAAAGGAGTCCGTTGGGGTCTCCTTGTCCGGCGATGCTCACTTCCCGGCCAACGCACCAAATGTAAGGGCCCAGCTAACACCGGAGGAAGAGACCACCAAGAGACTGACTTTATGCAATAAGCAGGAGGGGGTTTATTGAGATTCCAGCATGCTGGGGCTCCATGCCCACTCGAGAAGGGAGAGCAGCCCAGAGCCCAGAGCCAGGGTTGAACAATGCTTAAGTACACTTTTTTGGGGGGAGGGCGGGGACTTTACATACATCACAGTCTCCTTTAACAAATCACCATACACCGTGGGAAAGTCAAACAACAATTCTTAGACTTGATTAGTACATACATTGGTGGCAACAGGGCAGGCTGGAGTGATAGGTCATTCCTAAGGAGGGGGTTACATTCAAACTAATTGGTTCGGGCCCTGTATGCCTACGTGACAAGCTGCACAGAGCCCTAGGCTATTAATCAACTAAATGGCCAGTAGAGCATTGTCTTAACTGCCTCAGGAATTTCAGGTTCTGGATGTAGCAGAGGAACTTAACAATTCCTGGTCCTTCACTTTTTAACTCAGGCCTTGCAGCTTAGAAACTTTACAATGCCCGGTCTTTTACATTTTAACTCAGGCTTTGCAGTTTAGAAGCAGCTTAGAAACTCTACCCTTTCAATATGAGTTTTTTTTCTCTGAATTATGAATGTGTAAAACAAATCAGAACACAAACTCATAAAGGTGAGCTTTAAGTCAGTGTCGAATTTCTGGCTATAATCATCACTATAGTCATCATTTTGTTAGCTTTTCATATAGATTTCTATGATTCAGAAGAAATGATGTCTATAAGATAATTTTATTACATTATCAACTTGTTTTAAGAATTTTGCTCAGATTTGTTCATATATGTACTAGAGTTTTAGATTTTATTCTTAGTCCAATTATTTACTTAATATTTGAAATGCTTAATTTGAATTGTCAACTTGATTGGATTAAGAGACCTCAAAGATTAAAAGGCTTCTGGGTGTGTCAATAGGGTGTGTCTAGGAATGTTTGGCATGTGGGATATCAAACTGAAGTGAAGACCCTCCCTAAGCACAGGCAGCACCATCCTATAGGATGATGGCTTGGATGGAATAAAAGTTGAGCTGGCTGATGTTATTTGCAGAAATAATAAGACATTTCATCATATAATGGTCAAATCTACTTTCATGATTATCACTATCACTATAATTTATAATTTTTTTTTCAAAATGAATGAGATAACAAGCTTTCTTTATGATCTTCCAAAGATGGAGTAGGTAATGAATGGTATGTGTCCCTTGAACCTCTGATTCCAATCATTTCTCCCCAAAAGGAGCCAATGATATTAGTTTCTCATTAAAACTTCAAAAGACATTTTATTTGTACAATGTATATTTGCATATGATAATTTCACTTTTAATAGTGGTCAACCATATATACTATTTTGGACTTTGTTTTTACGTAACAATTTATCTTCAAGATCCTTTGTATTAGGGTACCTAGAGTTCCAAGGCATTTTGTTTCCTGGCTATTCCAGTATTGACACATATGAAAATGTATAGTACCAATTTTATGTAGATGACATTTACATAGTTTCCAAACTTTTCTGATTAAAATCAATGCATTAAAGAACCTCTTATGTATGTAAACTATTGCAAATGTGAGTTTACTAAAACTAGCATTATCTGTAAATGTTTCCAAGCATTTGTTCCATCTAAGGCAGGTCATGCACTGATATCTTCTAGCAAGCACTTTTTATGTTTAAAACTTTGCAGAATTAAAATGAAAAACTTGAGCACCAAAATAGGCCAAAGCATATACCACAAGCCACATTTTTCCTTACTTCTTTCTAAACAGTGAGTAAAGTCCTTTTCCAAGTTTACCAACAGAACTACCAAGAGAAAATAATGCATTTAGACCATTGCCAAATGATTCCAATACTTGAAAAATCCAGGGAATTTTACTCTCCTTTGTATTATCAATCATATTTCTCAGTTGATTAATTGTTGCATTCATTTCCTCAGATTTCCTCTTGAATCCTTCCTCAAGCAAATCCTTTTGAACCTAAAATAAATAGAATTGAAAGGGGTGTAAATATTTTATAATTTTGAGTTATACTTTGTTTAAAAAACTTTGTCAACATGTCTTATTTTCTCCCTAAAATTTTTTCTCAATTACTGTAGGTTAATTTAGCAACAAAGACTATCATCTGAGCTAGACCTAGACACTACCAGGAAGTAACATTTCCCACTTTACTAATATCCACCCACCATTACAGATTGGCTGCGTGCTAAACAAGGTGTGAGAACAAATTCATATTCTTGCCAAGAAATGCTATTGGTCTGAATAAACAGATTCTCAGTCCCACTGGGATGGCATGGTCACCATCACATAGCAATGATGAGAACACATTATCTGATCCAGAAATCCATTACCATATAATTTCCAAATGGACAATGAGGGATTTCCTCTCATGCCCTGTGCAGCTGTTTACATCTGGATTTAACTGCAGCAAGTTTAGAAGCTGTCACTTTCCTGGGTTTCTACTTCTGTCAGTGCAGATCTGCCTTAAGGTCTTTGAGTAGAAATAGGGCTCCAGACAACATGGGACTTGGATAATGCTAACCAGTTGCTGTTCCCATCTTAACTACAACTGGTTAAAATCTGTCTGCTTAATCAGGCCCTCATGAGATTTTTTTTTGTTTGTTTATTCCTTTTATTCATTTAACAAATACTTGAAAATAAAACCTTAACATTCAATCATTTTACCACTACACCCCTTATATGCATCTCTAAACAATGTTAATATTTGCCTTATATAAACACAAGGGCTTTATCATACTTATCAAAATTATTTCACATTATCTAATGCTTCCAATTTTCTTGATTGTTTCAAATATTCTGGAAGTTGTTTTGTTCAAATCAGGGTCCCAAAAAAGTTTATATATATTTGGTTATTAGGTCTGAACTATCTTTTAATCTAGAAAAGTTCACCTCACTACTACTGCCATGACTTCTCCTTCTCTTCCTTCTTATCCTCCTCTTTCTCCTTCTTTCCTTTTTTCAATACCATTGACTTGTTTCAGACTGAGACAATTGCCCTATAGAATGTCCCACACTCTAGATATCACTGTCATAAGATTATTTTAAAATCTCCTTAAACAGCAGCTTACACCATGTATAAAATCTAAAGATTTAAGGGACTATAAATGACTCTCCAGAGTCTAAATATAGAATACAATTTTTAAAAAAATTTTTTACAAGAGAATTCAGGGCTTGCAATAAATCACAAGCAACACATGGTGATTATCTTCCTTCTGTGAGCTGAGTGTAATTTGCACTATTCCTTCTGGGGCCCCAGGACCATCAGAACTACTGAGCAGGGCATCACCCACCTTCAGCTGGTGCTCCAACATGGTGTTCTGGTTTTTCAGGAGCTCTTCTCTCTCCTCCTCCAGCTTCTTTTTCAGTTGCTCCACGTTTTCCTTGAAACTCCTCTCTTGAGCCTCCATCTGTTGCTGTTGTTCCTGTAGTTTCTGTCTTGAAAGCTCCTCTTCCCTCTCAGCTGCCTCCTTCTTGGCCCGCTCCTCTGTCACAGGAAAGTTTTAGAGAAGGAAGAAAGAAACAGCAACTATACTATAATTTCCTGAGCTCAGAGACCAAACCAAACCTGAAAGGCAGGGCAAGGCAGGAAATCACAGAATTCACACAAGTCCACACCATCAAGTGCAAGTTTCAGACACTGATAGGAAAGGTCCTGCCCATCAGGTTGAGGTCTGACCTCTACTCCCCCTTGCTCCTCACACATTCAGCAGAGCATGCATTCCACAGAGAAGGGAAAGCTCACAGTTTGGAGAAGGTCTTCCTGTCAGACCTGTCAGAGGGCTTTACAGGAATCCAACCACCACCTGAGAGTGGAGTCATGTCCCTGTACCTGCAATGGCCTTCTCCTTATCACTGAGGGCTTTATCTGCCTGCAGGATAGACTTCTCTGTTGCTGTCTGTGACTGCAGAAACCTCTGGAAGACCTCGCCTGCCTGTGGAACCAAGAAGAAGCAAAAAACTTAGATTTCATTGGAAGACCACTTCTGTAAAAACAATATATCAGCCAGAGGCAGTGGTGCACACTTATAAATCCCAGCAACTTGGGAGGATGAGGAAGGAGGGTTGCAAGTTCAAAGCCAACCTCAGAAACTTAGCAAGGCCCTAAGCAACTGCACAAGACCCTGTCTCAAAAATGTAAAAATAAATAAAAAGGGCTGGGGATGTGACTTAGGATCGTTAGGCACCCCTGGGTTCAATCCCCAGTCCTCAGCAAAAAATAGAATAAAATAAAACAAACAAAAAACACACATGTCCATATCATTTTGGCTTCATGGTTAAAATTTCAGTGATTCCCTTATAAGTGACCAAACTCCTCAGTGTGACCTGAGACCCTCCATATCTCCTCTTCCTGTCCCCTCCTCCCCTTCTCCCAATGCTTTTTCCCTCCACCTGCTCTAGGCTCCACCTAGTCTAAATGAGGTGAAATTGTACAAATTATAATCTCTAATGCTTTCAAGTGTTTGTTTTATAATGTGAAATGCTGCCTCTGGTCTATGCTGCTGCTTTCTCCCACCACTGGCTGGGTATAACTTTGGACCAGATATTAAATCTGTCTGGGCCTCTCAGTTCAGATGTATAAAATGTTCACATGAGGAGAGGTATTACATAGAGTTGTTTGGGGAACTAGATTAAAAGTTCTCGGGAAAAAGCATATCACCATGTCTATAGTCAATAGAATATGAAATGTTAATTGTGCCATTATTGTGTTTCCTGCTACCACCTATGTAGCCTGTTGTCCCTGGCTCATAAGTGATATCAATAAGTGATATCACTCAATATGTCCATTTAGTTGACTCTTTCTTACCTTGATCAGCCCTAAGAGCAAAGGCTCTGACTGAACCTTGGGAATCACCAGCACTTGGCATATTTCAAGTAATGTAGATGAAGAAATTCATAAGTTCTTTCTATCTTTACTGAATTTCTGAAATCCATAATACCTTTGGAAATGAATACTTCCACTCTCAGGTAAATATAATAAGTAGGAAGCATTCGAAAACTAAGTGAGGTCAGGGAGTAGCTCAGTGGTAGAGCACTTGTCTAGATAGCACAAAGCCCTGGGTTTCCATCTCCAGCTCTGGGGAAGATGGAGGGAGATAGAGGTATCATGCTTTCTTATCACTCACAAGTAGATTTAAGAGATACTTTGACTGTTCTCTAAGCTCCCCATGTCCCCTTACTCCTCACCTTGACTCCTTTCCTGGGCACTTGCAAATAGTTCTGTTCAACATTTTCTCTTGCTTTCATGTAGAGCTTGTGGCCTCCAGGAACAGAGAAAGTTCCTGCAGAAATGCTTTCCATTAGGGTCTTTGAAAGCCGATTCAGTTCAGCCTGGCAGTATTTTTCAGAGGTCTCCTCATTCTTCAGCAAGAAATAGTTCTTCTTCTCCTCTATTATTTTCTGCAATGGAATTATAGACACATGTTACTGGAAGATAGGAATGAAAAAGATAAAACTCCAAAGAACCTTATAGAAGGGTCAATCTAACTATATTGATGATGAGAAAAGCATTCAAGTGGAATAAGACTTGGGATGAATCAGAAATCACAAAACTTGACTCATTACATCCCTGAAGATCCTCTGCAAGTCTACAGAAAAATTTCTTAAACTTCCTGGGCCTCAAAATGCTCATCTGTGTGATGAAGGGATTGTATTCCAGAAGCTCCATGGTGTCTTGCCAGCTGTGGAGTGCTGTGATTCGATCTTCAATGATGCAATGAAACAAGGAATAACATAAGATGAACAGCAACGTGGAAAGAGGTGAAAGAAACTTTGGTTCCTAAGGAAAGGAGAGTGTGCACAGAAGAAGAAACAGTATGGGGTTGACTTGCAGGTGTTCTAGGCTGGCTTGTCACCCATAGAAGGATTTTTCAGTATTCATTAGAAGCATTCAGAATATGAAATGTTAATTGTGCCATTATTGATATTGATACAGACTTGACTTCAGTCATCAGATTGTTATGGAAGATATCTATTCTGGTTTTCCTTCAGTCATCTGAGAGATTTCTGGATAATGTGCCCCAAGTTTGGGGGAGGGGGCAAAGAGGGATATATGGTCTTTGGGAACTGTATTCCTCATGAGAATCCAAAGTGCTTTATCCTTGAATTAGAGAGAGGAACCCTGAGGTCCATAAAGGCACCTGTAGGCTTCATTTTCAAGGGAACTACCAGAAAAGGTAATAACTGAGACAATTACCGCCAGTTCCTTTTGGAACTCCTGATTTTCATCCTTGAAGGAGTGCTCCATGAAGACTGTGATGGCTTCCTTCTCACAGGCTACGTGCACCTCCAGCAGCTCCTGGAGTGTGTCTGTGGGGAACTGCACCCGCTGGGCCATCTGCTCACTGTAGTGGTCGGCTGCCTTCTGCACAGCTGCTGAATTCTCACGCTGGGCCAGAGTGGTCACCGCATTCTCCAAACAAGGCACTGATCCACTAGCGATGGTGTCTACATAGGTCACCACCAGAGTCCCCAGGCCTGAGGAAGCCAGAAATTTTAGGGGATAAATTGGAATCTATAACTCAATAAGATCCAAGATTCTAAGACAGTATTTCTAAAACCTCATACACATAAAAACACACATGCCTACCTCTTTCTACTATCATCACTCTGGTGTTACTATTGATCTCAGTTTTATGGTTCTCTAGGCCACAGTATTTAAAATGTTAACTATCCACCTCCCTGTAATATATTAAGTGTATATGAAAACACAACGTCTCAATTAAAAGTCAAAGGAAAACACATTACATAGGTTGACCAATGAGGAAAGGTATATCAGATTATATTTATTGCCAAAACTTTGAAAGGATATTTTAGGTGTTTACAGGCCAGCATTTATATATGAGCTACTATAAGTTTCCAAAATACACATCATATTCTCCTTACAAACAACACTTAACATATAAGAATTCCCCTAAAAATAGTATCTATCTGTTTTTATACACTATTAGTGATTTTTATTATCAATGGAGGATTTTTCAGATATGTGGAAGCCAAGACACCAGTAACAAAGTGCACAATTTTACAGAAGGTCTGTAAACCCTAAAAGTAACCTGATTTAAAATTGTGCGTATTTCTCCAATTATCAAACAAAACTAATGGAAACACATTATATAGTATATTCAACATGTATTAGTCAACACAGAAATATGAAAAGACTCACGATTGCCAGTAACCACAATCCCCTCTCTGAGTGTCTTGATCTTTGCCTGGGTAAAGATGTAAGAACTGAAACTATTTGTTTGTTCCTGGAATTTAGGATCCAGTTGGTCTTCTGAGATGCTCTCAATATGGGCTAGGTGTTCTTTGTTATTTGTTGGCCGGTCAAAGACAAAACACTTCCGTTTCGGAAAGAAATTCCTGATGCATTCCCTGGGCTGATTGAACATTGCAACTCTGGAGCCATTCCCTGAGGGATGTAAAAAACAGAGAATACAGTAGAAATTGTCTTAGGACTGGGAACTAAAGATTTTTTGACAGGGGTTGTTGTATCTTTGCAGTTAATATATACTGTTAAAGAACTGTTTTAACATTAACATTCAATACTTCTTTGCACACCAAACTTGTGCCAATGATGTAACTCTGACAAGAGATTTAGATCCTAGCAGAAAAAAAATATCTAGACTGATATCCCCAGATCTGAACATGGTACCAGTATATAGAGTTGTTATTTATTATATGTTCACTGAATGAATGAAAGGTTAAACATAAATCTCTGGTCCACTCAATCCCTTGCAAAAATTGAGCTGTGGGACCAGAAAGAAGACACACAAATAGTGATAATGGAGCAATATCAGAAATAACATTAGGAATACTGAGAACAATACCATAATTCATTAAGGAAAACTACTTCCATGCTAAAAAGAATTCATTTTTTTAAAAGCCAAATAAACAGAAAGAATGAAATAGTTGTTACCAGGGGTGGGGAGGAAATGGGAAATGTAGGTCAAACATTAAAGTAACAGATATGTAGGAAGCAGAAGTTTAGGGATCTAATGTACAACATGAGGACTATGGGTAACAAAACTACTATATTTTGGGATTGTTATTAAATCAAATCAACTAACTATGTGAGATGATAGATGGATTATCAGCTTTACTTTACTAATCACCTTACTATCTGTATATATCCCATAATATTGGGATGTAATATAACAATGTAGTTTGTTTTTTTAAAATAACTTTCACACAATGTTAGCTATTTGTAGCAAACATTTCCAAAGACCAAAAGTAAACAAAATGTGATTTTTAAAATTTGAGACAGAGGTGTATATTTGATTTGACTATTTGCTTTCCTGCCTACCAATTTTTCAATTAATGTTTTGAGAAACCATAGAGAGAAAAATGAAAGCACAAAAGAATAAATCAGAATTGGTATTCTCACAAGATTTTTTTAGGTATGCACCCATGTAAATAATTTACATATAAGCAATATGTAAACCAATTAATATAATTTTTTAAAATAATACCATGAGTAAATGTGTTGGAATTAAGAGAAAGCCACCATATACAAGTAAAATGAGTGTTCTTATAATCATAATAAATATTGGAAAGGAATAAATAGAAAAGATACATGCTTCTTCAGGCCTATTTAGAACACAAAGGTATGAGAGTGGAAAGGGAGTACTGGCAAGTGAACTCAGGGCCGTTCCAGGGAGTTACATACCCAAACCTTTTTAGTTTTCATTTTAAGATAGGATCTTGCTAAGTTGCCCAAATTGGCCTCAAACTTGAGATCCTGCTGCTCTAGGCAGGGGCCACTACCACTGAGCTATATCCACAGCCTTTTTTATTTTTTTATTTTGAGACAGGTCTCATTAAGCTTGAACTTGAGATTCTGCTGCTCTGTACTTTAATGTTTGACCTACATTTCCCATTTCCTCCCCAGTATATGGTAACAACTATTTCATTCTTTCTGTTTATTTGGCTTTTAAAAAAATGAATTCTTTTTAGCACAGAAGTAGTTTTCCTTAATGAATTATGGTATTGTTCTCAGTATTCCTAATGTTATTTCTGATATTGCTCCATTATCACTATTTGTGTGTCTTCTTTCTGGTCCAAGTGCCAAGAATTACAGATGCCACACCTGGATCACAAAGGTATTCATATGAATGAAATAAATACACTAGTATTTTAAAATTATAAGAATTATCTCTGTGAAATACATATTTTTTCATGTATTTGATTATAATTTCATGTCTAACAATTTTGAGGCCATTTGTTCTCCTAAACAGAAGAAAGCAGATGCCAAAGAGGGTACAGAAGTGTCTGGTCACTAGAAAGTTTTAGCCTCCATTGTAATCAGGAAACTAAAGTAAAAATTGTTTAAAAGAATTTGGTTTTGAATACTTTCATTGTATTTTAGGCCTTATATTTCTTAAGTAAACATCAGTTCCTGGAGCTCTTCAACCTATACTCCACTCACCATTGCTGCAGACCTCAGTTCAGTCTCAAATACCAATGGAACCCAAGAAATGATGGGCAGTTTTCAGTGATCCCACCCACTCCTGAGCCACACTCTGGTACCTTTAATCAGCTTCAAGGCATTCTCCAAGTACTGGTCTTCTGTGATGTCCTCACCATTAAACTTCAGCTCCAGGGTGAAATCCCGGACAGTCCAGACAAAGTCTGGAAAGAAACTCACAAACTCTGTGCAATCTTCTATTTCATCAGGCTCTGAGGAGGACTTTGCCCTGATTAATTCTGTCAGCTCTGTCACATAACTAGGTCTTGGCTGAGGAAAAAACATCATTTCCGTGTTTCCCTATTAAAAAGTTCTAATAAACGGCCTCTTTTGCCATAGGTGCTCACTGCTTCACCAGAAACTACAAAAGATAATGACTCAATATTCATTCCCCTAAACTCAATGACAAGGTGGTTGAGTTCCTGGAAGGATACTGCAGCTGGTCCAGGGCCTGCTGATTGATGGTGCCCATGCTGTTGTAGACAAAGGTGCTGCTGAGAAGCACAGCCAGGGCAAAGATCCAGGAGTCATTCTTAGGGTCACCCTAGAAATCACATTACAGCAAGGAACTTAGGAGTTATATCTTAAAAATTCATTCAGACCTTTATTCTGTCAGTCTTTCTTTATGGGTTTACTAATAGGAATTCATATGCAATGAAGAAAGACCTGAACAAATAATAGCTTTGACAATTATAAGGTTTCTTAGAATCTTAATTTCTTCATATGATGATTCTCATCTTACATAGCTTTATTTTTCTCAATGAGATGAAATAAGATAATATACATACATAAACTTGTACTCTATTGGGTTCTCAATAGGATATTCATTCAATCATTGATGTTAGCATTTCCTCATTCTCTCTATATTTATTGACCATAGACCATATAAAACATATAAATATCAGAGTAGGGATAGCTGGGCATAGATGGCTACTGATCCCACTGATCTTAGATTTAGAAAAACAAATTTAACAATAACAAGTTACTTTGAGATGACTAATTCAAAGCAATGAAGATATTCACAATAATAAATACAACACAGATAATAATATCTATAAAAATTTGGATCTTAGTAATTTATATAAGTAGTGAATTCCATAGCTGTTATATTAAATTAAGAAGTACATGTCAATCAAGAAAGAACAATCAAGAAAGTTGGAGAAAAACATGTATGAAGCCTTCCTAGAGATCATGAGCTGACCATTAAAGAGTTGGCAGAAGGTTGACAGAACAAATAAAGATGATCCTACAAGTAGAAAGATCCACAGAAACAAAACTAGAGATTGTAGGAGTCTTTGCAGTGAAAATAGTTATTTTGTTTGACTGAGAAGCAAGTAAGAGCAGGAAACAATGCTGGATCATGAGTGCTGACACAGGTTGATGAAGGACATGAAAGGTCAGGCTAATTTGTTTCTATAAATTGTAGTATTTGTCTAAATTAAATCTAGAAATTAGTTCTAATATAAAGAGTATATAAAGCTTGTTCCTAGAGAGCAAGGTAATAACAGATTCAGGCCTATAATATTCTATATAGCAATTTAAGGGTGGCTCCCCACCCTTAAATTCATTTCCTTATTTCCCCAAAACTCTAATATTAAAAAGTATTCAATGTTTTTAGAACTAGGACTTGTGGCAAATGAAAATCCATTTAGATAAGCACATACCATTGTTTGATAGATGGCTTTCAACTCTCTATGACAATGACATTTTTAAGTGAACAAAAAGAGAAATTCTAAAATCTATACAGGACCACAAAGGATACTGAATAACCAAACCAATCTTGAGCAAGAAGAACAAAGGTTAAGGTATCACACTTCCTGATTTAAAATGTTACAAAGCTACAGTGATCAGAGCGGTATGGTAATGTTGTAAAAGCAGGCATCTAGACCCATGGAACTGAAGAACACCCAGAAATAAATCCATGCTTTAATAGTCAACTCAGCTTGGACAACAGTGCCAAGAACACACAATAGGGACAGAATGGCTTTGTTAACAAGTGATGTCAGAAGAATTGGATATCATTAGCCAGAAGAGTGATTGAAATTGAACTCAAAATAGATTTGAGACTTGCATGTAAGCTCTGAAAGTGGATGTACTACTGTGTGTATATCCAAAGGAAATGAAGTTGAGGCATGGAATCAAACCAAGTGTTCATCAATGGATAAATGGATGCAGAAAATGTGGGAAATGCACACACCAGAATACCACACATCCATAAAAGCGAGGAAATCTTGTCATTTGCAACAACATACATGAACCTGCAGGACTTTAAGCGAAAGTGAAATGAAGAGAGGCACAAACAGGCAAATACCACCTAACCGCACTTGTGTGGAACTTAGAGAAGTTGCATCCATACAAGTAGAGAGTGGAATGGTTGTTGAAAGGGTGGTTCAAAGGCAGGGAAAGGGTCATAGAGAAACAAAACACAAAATTTCAGTTAGATAGTAGGAAAAAAATGACCATGTGTCCTGAAATTTCAAGAAGAAAACAGGCAAAAGCTTTTTAACATTGGTTTAGCCTTGGTTTTTGTGGAAATGACACCAAAAGTACAGACAACAAAAGCAAAATTAGACAAGTGGGAGAGCATCCAACTAAAAACCTTCTTGCAAGCAAGAAAAACAATCAGCCAGGTAAAAAGGAAACTACAGAATGGAATAAAAATATTAGCAAACCATATCTGATAAGGGGTTAATATTCAAAGTATATAAGAAATTCATATAACTCAACAGTAAATCAAGCAACCCCCAAAATATGAGCAAAAAGTTAATATACAAATTGCCAATGGGTTCATGAAAAGAAATTCAACATCACTAATTATCAGGGAAATGAAAGTCAAAATCACAATGAGCTATCACAACAATTAGGATGGCTATGAACAAAAAGACAAAAGATGACATGTGTTGATGAGGATATAGAAAAAAAAAAACACTTGTATGCCGTTGATTGGAATGTAAATTGGTATAGCCGTTATGGAAAACATTCTGGAAATTCCTCAAAAAATAGAAGTACCATATGATCCAGCAATATCACTTTTCGAGAGTCAAAGGAAGTAATATCAGTATCTCAGAGAGATACCTGCCCTTCCATATTTATTACAGCATTATTTTACAACAGCCTAGATATAGATGTTTACCAAGGAATAAATGGGTAAAGAAGTGTGGAGTATGAGTACTCAAACCTAAAAGAACAAAGGAAATTGTGCCATTTGCAAAACATGAATGAAAATTGAGGGCATTATGCTAAGTGAAGTACGCCAGGTACAAAAAGAAAAATACTACATTATCTCATTCAGGTATGGGATGTAAAGTGGTCCAATAGTCAAACCCATAGCAGCAGAAAATGGGATGATGTGTTCTGGGATCTGGGGAATGGGAGAAACAGGGAGATACTGGTCAAAAAGTACAGAGTTTCAGTTATACAAAATAAATAATTTCTAGAGTTCTAAGGTATAGCATGGTGACTCTAGTTAACACTGTATTGTATACTTGAATTTTGCTAAGAAGTTCTCTTTAGTGTTCTCACTATAAAAGCAAAAAGAAAACTAAAAATTAATACATGTATTAATTTGTTTGTACCGATCATTTCACAAAGTAAATCAAAACATCAACTTGTGCACCTTAAATGCATACAATTTTATTTATTAATTATATTTCAAAGAAGTTGACAAAAAGTAAGCACAGAATATCTAAATCCTTATGCAAAAAAAGAGAGCATAGAAATTTAGACGCTTTTCTCAAATAAGTCTCAAAATAAAGGACAGATCACAGGCTGGGACTGTAGCTCAGTGGTAGAGTGCTTGCCTAACATGTGTGAGGCACTGGGTCTGATCCTCAGCACTACATAAAAATAAATAAAATAAATGTATTGTGTCAAAAAAAAACAGATCACTCAGTTTACCTATTGTTAGAAAGCTACAATATCAAAAATCCATCTTAAAATGTGTATTATAAGTCAAAAATATGCTTTGATAGAACCAGCAGTCATAGATTTCTCAAAGACTTCCAGAATGTTTGTAGTTTGAAAGGTAGATCAGGAGGCTTTCCTCATCCACAGGGATGAGGCTGATACCTCTTCACCCTTCTATCAAGCTCCCCTTACACTTAACTATTTGATCAAGTTGGGATGTGCTATGTGCATCAGTTGTCAAGCTATTGGAAGTGCTAATGGATGGCAGCCCTCAGAGGTCAGCACTCAATGAGAAAGGCTTCCAGACCTCCAAGGACTGATCAGCACCAGGGATCAAGACCCAACTTCCTTGTCTCAACACAGGATCCTTCCAAAGGGCCAACCCAGCCACAGATTTCCCCATGGAACTGACAGGGGTCAGGCACTACACTGCAGCATGGGACCTTCCTCTCTCCAACCTGCTTCTTTCCCAGGCCTTGTATTTAACCTGAAGCATAGGTGTGGTCTCCTCAATGGGGCTGCAGGTAATTTTTTGAGGACAGAGCCTTTACTTGGTCAGTAATGCCAATCTACTGAGCCCAGAAGGCTAGAACTTAGCTACTCAATAATTTTTTTATTATATTGAATCAAAGCATTCACCCTACTGAAGCAAAATTAAAGATAGGCAGTTAGTGTAGATAGGTGGTTTGGTCAGATTGAGAAAATGGAGGCCAATTTGGGTCCAGGAAGTTAGAGACTGCCCCTGGAGATTGGAATGTTAATGCCTCCAGAGCCCTTTGAGCACCAAGATCACCTGCCTGTACTGCCCCTCCCAAAAGGTTGTTAAGGAAGCTTCCAGTGAGCAGACAGGAAACTGCTAATTAATGCCTCCCAGGCTGCCCATTCCCTTCCTGCCCAGATCACTCCACCTTGGCCGTTCCAACCCACCTGCTGCTCACCTTTTTTACCATTCCACCTAGATCTCTTGGGCAGGAAGGAAAGAGATAAGGGGGAAGAGGTCATAAGAACAAAGAAAATCTAAAATGTATAAAAAGGGCAAGATGCTGTCACTTCTTGAGATACCAGGATACCAGCTATGGCCCCCTTCTCCTAGGAGAAGTCTGTGTTACTATTTTTTAAAATAAAATTGCTTCCCATACTTGCCTCGGCTGCTTCTATAATGTTCAAAAACTTCCACATTTGAGGAAGCAGAACTCCTCAATGATAAAGGGTGGTATTGCTAACCATCAAGAAATAAAACATTCTATATACCTCTATCTTATCTGAGCTGGAGGTAAGATTTAGACTACCAGTTTGCCTTATTCACTATAGGTCTGTTTCCAGGTGGTAGATCAAAGCAGTTAAATTGTAAAGGGTCATAAAGCCATAAGGAGAAAATTCAGCATACAAAGGATCTGAGACTGCCTCCCTCACCTTTTCCACATCTCCCAGGCCCTCAGTGTCCAGAAGAACCAGGGTGTGATTTGGCTTGATGGGGTGGGGCACACACCACATCCAGATGCCCTTGGTTTCAGATTGCACTGTGGAGCCCAAAGGAAAGCCTGCAAGGGAAGGGGAGAACAACATATGCTGAGAGCAGAACTCCTAAGCAGCCTAGAACCCACAGAGCCTGGGATCTTGGATTGTGTGTACCCCAACAGCCAAGATGGTGGAATCTCTACTTCCTCAAGAATGCCTTACTTTGCAAGTCATCTATTTTAAGGAGCAGAGGATCAGTCATTAATCTGAGAATGATGCCACTTGAGGGTTCTAGATGAAGACAAAGAGGCATTCATGAACTAGACAAAATGGAGGTCACTAGTAGGAAGCATTTAAAAGAAATGGTGAAGCCCAGAGATCTGCAGATTAAAGATAGATGTAAGAACAAAAAAAATGAAAAAGGGAAGTTGGAATACTATTTTTTGCATTGAAAAACAAGTGAAAGAAAAAGCAAAACAGAAAAAGAGTAGTTGCAATAGGAAGTGAAGTCCAAGAAGGATTTTTAAGATGACAGATATTCAAAGATTTTTACATGTTGATGAAATATTACGTAGAGGGGAAAAAATATTTTATATAAGACAGAAGAAACATTTATGGAAGTGTTAGAAAAGATGTGGATGTTAGAAAAGATACAACTGTGAGCACCAGTAGGAGAGATTTTCCTTAATCAGAATAAAGAAAAGAATATGGGGAAAGATTACAGTAAAGTAGTAATTTGGCCATGACAATTAGAATGAGAAAGTTCCTTTACAGAGAAAAGTTGGGTCCTCCCTTGAATGAGGATCATCACTAAGAAGCTGAGATTCAGTTGGAGACAAGCAACTGGCCCTGCCCAGGACACCACTCACCGCAGTTCTGTCCTGCCAGACGGTTCATCAAGTAGGATTTTCCTGTACGGTACAGTCCAACAATGGCCACCACTATGACTGGCTGAGAAATCTTCTCAAGAATTCTTAGAGCCTGCTGGTTCACCATCAGCTGCTCATTGTTATTTTCCACCAGACAAATGGGGGCTGACATTTTTGGTCCAGATGCCATAGCAACCTGCTAACCTGGAACAGCCTCCAAGTAGAAATAAGATTACAAAGTCATTCTCTGTCTCAGAGTTATCCAACCACCCATCAACTTGGGACTGATGAGCCATCTGTACTTTGTTTGGGACTACACATAACTGAACAAGAGCAGACTCCACAAGGTTGCCTTCATCATTCTCCCAAATCTCTAATGTTTTTGATGAAACATAAGGTGTTATCTTCTCTGAAATTTTTCTACAAGTAATAATAAAACCCATGTAATATTACTGAGGGTCTGAAATATGCTAAAAACTGTAATAAATAATTTATGTACCTGCAAGTTAGAGATTATTCAGCCCACTTTGCAAATGAGATAAATAAGCTTCACAAATGCTGAGTGAATATGTCACAGAGACAGGATTAAAAACCTAGACAATTGAGCAGAATGGCAGACTAGAAAGCTTTAAGCTCTTGTTCCTTCCATGGAGATGTAAAAAAAAAAAAAGAAGAAGCTAAAATAATCTTATAAGAATTCTGAAAACCATTCAAAGAAACTGTGTGCAAAGCCACATTCAAAATAGAAGGAAATTCTATGTCTTTGCTTGCCCTTTCCCTAGCCACTCCCCAGGACATCACAGTCTTATTCTGAAGGTCTGATCCTGAATCCTCCCCACACTTTGAACTGGAGGGAAAGGAGCAGATCTTATTAGCAATAGGCTAACCTGACTGGGGCCTACTTTTCTAGTTTGTTTTTTCCTAACTTGGATTTCAGATAACCATGAATTCTTGGATATGATACCAAAGCACAGGAAATAAATGAGAAACAGATAAACTATACTTCTTTAAAATTGAAAACTGTTATGCACAAAGGATGCTATCAATGGAGCAAAAGAAAACTCACACAAAATGGGTGAAAAATATTTGCAAATCATTTGTCTAATTAAGGATTAATCTCCAGACTCTACGAAGACCTCCTACAGCTCATCAACAAGAACAGAAAACCCAATTTAAAAGTGAGCAAATGACTGAAATAGACATTTCTCCAAAGAAGATATGCAAGTGACCATAAGCACATTGAGACAGGCTCAACTCCACTAATAACTAGTGTAAAAGGAAATTTGGAGATATAATAAAATTTTAGAGTTCATTTGAATAAGATCAGTTTGTGTTTGGGGAAATATCCAGATTGAAGACTGTTTGTTTTAGTGTTTGTGTTCTGATAACAAAGCCTCAGAATCAAGTATTTATTAGAAAAATGTAGAAGCATGAGGAATAACTGATTAGTGGTAGTTACAAATTTGCCTTTTATGGGTTAACATGTAACAAGTATTAGTCACATAATCATATGTTAATTGGCTACTTATGAGTAACTGAGGTTAGGTTTTCATTCCATTTTACATAAGCATTTACCCAAATGACCCAAGTTTGTTTTGTTTAGATTTGAAGCTTTCACAAGGATAATATTATTTTTAACATCTAGTTGGCTTTGTTTGCTCAGAAATTTTTCAGGCCAAATCTCCACTTTAATCTTGCTTTAATATTAAGGAAATGCAAATCAAACCACAATATAGAGCCAGGTGTGGTAGCTCAGGCCTGTAATCCCAGCATAAACAAGAATGAGTTTATAGCATTTACTGGTAAATGGATGGAACTGGAGAATATCACATAAGTCAGTCATATTAACCAGCCCTAGAAGGTCAAAGATTGAATGTTTTCTCTCATATGCAGAAACTAGATGAAAATAAGGGAAAAGAAAAGAAAAAGAGATAGGGGAATACCATGAAAATTGAAGAGAGTTCAGTGAAGTAAAAGAAAGAGATTGAGGGAGAAGGAGGAGGAATAGGAAAAGGGAGGAACAGTGAAATTAATCTGACCATACTTTCCTATGTATATATATGAATATACCACAGTGAATTTTACCTTTATATATTTAAATAATTTATGCATATAAATTTATGAATATAAATTATTTATATGTAAATAATTTTGTATCTTTATTGTATATTATACAATTTATATATTAAATATTAATATAATTTTTATTATATATATTCTTTCATATATATATATATATATATATATATATATATATATATCCATAAAGCACTGTTTTTTTAAACCCATAAATAAATAGAAGAAAGATCAGTAAGGTAAAGAGAAGAGGGTGGGGAGAAGGAGAGGCAAAGGATAAATATGGGAACTGAATTGGAGCAAAGTTTATTCCATGCTTGTATAATTATGTCAAAAAGAACTCCAGGGCTAGGGTTGTGGCTCAGTGGTAGAGTGCTTGCCTAGCATGCCTGAGGCATTGGATTCAATCCTCAGCATCGCATAAAAATAAAATAAAGGTATTGTGTCCACCTACAACCAAAAAATAAATATTTTTTTTAAAAAAGAACTTCAATATTATGTATAACTGAAATGAACTAATTTTTAAAAATAGCTCTAAGATTCACATGAATTCACTTAAATCAGGGGTTTCCTCTAGCAAAGCCTAAGTTGGGTAATTACAGAGTTAATATGAGTAAAACTATAGGTCCAACCTGAAGGGTGTTCCGACAACTAAGTGAAACAGCAGAAGTTTATATCTTAGAATAGCATACATCCAATGCAGAATTCAGTAAATGTTTCTTGAATTAATGGAAATTAAGTTATAATAACCATACTAAGCAAATTGGTCCATTAGATCATATGTCTCAACAAAATCTGCACACTGTTAATTTTTCACAGGAACAGAACATTAATCAAGTTCAAACATGCTGTTCCTCTTATCTGGTTCTTCAACATGAAGAACATCAATGTTGTGATTCCTGGAATTGTTATAATTCTTCGAGTTGGGAGGGCCCCCTCTCTGCAGTCACAGGTCTAGCATGATATGGCTGTTACTGCAGACAACTTTAGAAATATCTCTGGTTAGCTATGAATGAACTGCTGAGCATTTTAAATTCAAATTAATGATTATTCTTTTGATCCTATTGAGGAATGGTTTCAAACTTCAGTGTACATAAGAATCACCCTAAGGGATTATTAAAATGTAGATTTTTAACAAGTGCTACAGGTGACTCTGATGTCCCTGTGAGAAACAAACATCACACTCACACACACACACACAGCATCTTGCCTATACAGTTACTTTGAACAACAAAGATCAGCACTACAGTAAATAAATTTGTTTCTACATGGGAATAGTTCTCATTCTAAAGATATCTTAAGTGTGACTACCAGAAAGATAAAAAGAGAAGTCTCTGGATTATAGTTGCCTTAAGTTCCTAGGCAGGGAGCCTCTCCTTCTGCATATTCCAGAACTGGGAAGGGAACTGAAAGAGGTCAGCAGATGGCAGATGGGCTCCCATCCAGGGCTCTTTCCACTCCCCTAGCTTCTGCCTTGAGTTGAAGATGCAGGGAATTCAGGGACCAAGGGCTTCTGTGTGTCTGGCTGTTACCTCGAAGCTGTCATTGGTCAAAGGGAGAAGCTGAGCTTCCCCAGAACTAAAGCCAGGGAAAGACCCCTGCAGGCTCAATAATGGGCTACCCTCCCTTCCTGGCCGTCCTCCAATTGCCACTTTGAACTGGAAATCAAGTCAAAAGTAAGACTAAGTGGCATGTAAAAAGAAGAAGAGGAAGAAGGAGGGGGAGTTGGGAGGAGGAGGAGGGGAAGGAGGAGGAGGGGGGGCGAGGGGGAGGAGGAGGAGGGGGAGGAGGAACAACATACCTGCCCCACTGAACTACAGCTCCTCAGCTTCCTCGAACTTTCCTTTCCAGTCATCTGCCTTCTTCCTCTTCTGTCTCTCCTTTATATAAGCTGAAAAGTAAAACCAAAACTAAGTTAGCCCTTTCCACGAATAGAATACTGCAGACAAACTGAAATTAAAAGTAACTCACAGCATTGCTAAACCTAACAAAGACATGTCTGAAAAATCAGACCAACACTCAGATACAGATGTTTGGTGTAGAGATAAAAGGACAGAAAGAAAAGCCAAACACTCCTAGTGACATCTCCGCCAACACAGTCCTGCCAAGTTTCTTTTTTCTCCCTCCTCTTGGAAGGCTTTCACAGGCTCCCTTTTAGATACATTGCTCCAGTTGGCTTATGTTTCTCTTATGAGAGAGAGAAAATCAGTGTTGCAAATGTAAGCAAAGTTATATAAATCAAAACTAGTTCAAGCATTTTGCTCTTAGTGGAAATCCCTGTTTTGCTACTGAAGAGTTTTTAATGTTTTTGAACATAGTATACGTTATCATTTTATAATAAAATAGAGAATGAAGATAGAAATAAGTAATCCTTTATTTTATTATCCAGAGATATTCATTATTGACATTTTTTTTTTAGTATTCTCACGCTTCCCCAATACATAGCCCTTCCTAACACAGGGGTTCCCTTTCTACAGACATGTAGCCAATTGGCAGGGTTTCTAAAGCATTTTAGAATTTATGCATGTTTGTGCAGCAAAGAGACTAATCAGTTACCTCTTCCCATGGTAGGAAGATAAAGGGTGAAGTGTGGGGGAAGAGGGGAGGGACATGCATGAGAAGGCTGGGCTGTGTGAGGGCAGAGGGTATTCTCCTTCCACCTCTCCTTCACCACCCCCACCCTCCTTTTCTATGCAAAGATTTTTCATTAAAAGGACAAATAGTAATTATTTAGACCATAGGGTACGTGTTGCAACTATTCATCTCCAGCATCTATGGGCAATATGTAAATGACAGGGTGTGACTGTGTTCCTATACAACTTTATTTACAGAAGTAGGCAGAGGGCAGATTTGGTACTTGTGCCTAGTTTGCTGACCCTCAGTTTAGGTAAATGAATGCTACAACATGCAGAGAGTCATCACACTTCAAGTATCATTGTCTTACAGGTTAGTAGACTAATTTCACAATCAAATTCTGAGTGTCTACTTTTAGGGTCATTTGAGTCAAGGAGCATGCAAAATTCTTTGTTTTGGTTTGGGTTTTTTGTTTGTTTGTTTGTTTGTTTGTTTTTAAGTAGGAAAAAGAGTGTTTCCTCTATCTATCTGATTTTCATCCATGCAGCTCTTGATTTTCATCTGTGTGAACTCTTGCCTGACTGTCTGAGCCGTGCATTCACAGGTCTGCACAACTAATTGTACAACTCCCAACAACAACATAGCACAGCCCACAGCTCTGAGATAAGCCAAAGATGAACAGGTGCTGAAGGAGTATAGTCAGTTATACTGCAGAAGAGTCTGGTTTGGTTGGAGGGCAACTGTCCACATTTGCAGACTCCTATGAGCAAGGAAGCTTAATATTGGGGTGCATGGCATGGTGACTCCAGGCAGCCTAGTAGGGTGGGCAAAAAGCAAAAATGAAGGTCATAAAGACAGACTTTGTAGGGGTGAATCCGCCTTCATTTTCTAGACATAGCCTATAGACTTGAACCACAAATTAAGGAATGACACAGTGGCCAGACATGTTATCACGTGCTACACCCGAGAGAAAAGTTTGCAGGCACTGCCACCCTGTGGTGACTCAAAATCATAACTTATTCAGTGATGTGAATGCTGGATTTTGCTATGAAAAATGATTAGCTGATATCAATCAACATGGAATTTATGATATGTTATTATTAATATAGAACTTTATAATTAAAATATAAATTATAATGAAGTAGAAATTCATGTACGGAAATATATCATTTGCACACAATGATACCATATGCCTTTTCACGTTTTCTAATGTACACATTGGCTACTATGCAGATTCTTTAAAGTTTCAATGAAATGATGGATGAGGTATAAAGTCTTAAGCTCCTATGGGGATAATGTGTTTTTATTTGTGTTCTCTCTTGAAGAAAAAGAAATTTGAATGCATGTTGTTTATTTGGTGTGTAATGACAGAAGACAGAGGAATGGAGAAAGAGGAAAAAGGAGAGTAGACAGAGAAATGCAAAGTGTCTCTGAAGGACAATGTGAAGTATCTATTTATCCAACTTCATACAGTTCCCATTGGTTTAAAATTGCCCCAGAGGTCTTTTATCCCTCTAAACTTATAGCTTGTGCTTGTGCAAATGGGCAGGTTTTCACACACTGGAGAAAAAAAGCCAGAGAAAAAAAAGCAGAAAGATATATGAGGTGGGACACAGTGGAATACTATAAATGTCTACCATGCTACAATGAGTTTGAGAATAAACACAAGATGTGGAGTGACCAGATATTAAGAATAGAAAATAAAGTGAGGACAGAAGAAATATGGTGGCCTAATTTGACTATTCTATTAGTTATCAAATATATATATATATACACATATATTTTATATATATATATATATATATATATATATATATATATATATATACATACAATCTCCTATTGGTCCTGCTTCTCTACAGAATCCTAACTTATATAGATTTTAATGCCAGAGGTGGTTCTAGCAAACAGAATTATAAGGATAAATTTCCTTAGTTGGTTTTATGGTTTCTAGAGTTGGCTCTCTAAATTAAGTAGGCCTAAAGTTCCTAAATTCTTTCCTGCTGGCAGCATGGAAGGCCATGACCCATGTGGGAACTGTTTAAAGAGATTCATTAACTAAATGCATCCAGTGCTCCTAATTCGATACTTGTAAGAGGCAAGGAGTTTAGTGACTCTATACATGATACTTTTGAACATTTCTGGAAAACTGAGGAATGTAACAATTTTGGATCATTGCTCTGGCTTCACTCAGCAAAGTAACAAAGGAAAAGGAATAGTTCCAGACCCACATGACCAGTCTAAAATCTTCTTAGTGTGCTCTGAAGAAGAATGTTCTCTCTTGTAGTCTCTGAGATGTCTCTTGTAGGACAGAGGTTGCTGAAAACCAGATACCAACCCTTCTCCTGAAATTGACAGAATTAAGATGCAAGTTTAACTCTCAGCCTCAAAACATGTCTGTAGTTAGAGTGAGGACACAGCTTGGAAAAGAATGGGATTCTGTAAATTGGGGTGGAAACACACAGGAGGACAATGAAGAGTCTGGAGACACTGAACTCCTACATTCTGATGAGTTTATTTTGCCAGAAGGAGTTGAGTCTCTTAGTGATGGCAGTGTCACCCTTACTCCTACCCTCTGTGGCATTGACCTCTCCACCTCCCCTAAAGGGAATTAATCCTGCTTTGCCTGTAAAAACACCAATGGCCTTCCATGATTCAGTTGTTGAGCATGAAAATACTGATGCTCCTCAGGACCCTCCCTCACCACCCACTTCTGCCTTATCTAAGCCTATAATTAGAACCAAATCTAAGCAGGCCCCTAGAAGTGATGTACACAGTGAACAATGAGGAGGTGCACTACACTCCAAAGGAACTTCTTGAATTTTCTAATTCATACAAAGATCTGGGGAACATGTGTGGGAACGTATTTTAAGAGTGTGGAATAATTGTGGAAGGAACATAAAATTAGACCAGCCTGAATTGATGGATTAAACAGATATTATAAATTTAATGTAGCAGTTTGCAGTGTTACAAAAAGTACTAATAGTTTGTTTGGATGGTTGGCTGAAGTATGGGTCAAAATACAGCCTACTGAGTGAGCTGGAAATGCCTGACACCCCTGTTTACTGTTGATGAAGGGATTCAGAGGCTCAGAGAGAATGGAATGCTGGAATGGATCTGCCCTATAGGACTTTCTCCTCCACAGTGGGAGGGTTCAAAAGGTGTACCTTTCACCAAAACTATAAGAGACAAGTTTGTGAGGGGAGTACAAGCATCCTTGAAGAATTCTGTGTCATTGCTCTTTTCTGTATGCCAGACTTCATGATGGGAGCTGCAGTCAATCAATTGGGACACTTAAATGCAATGGGAATAACTGGATCCCAGAGAGAAAGGAGCCAAGTGGCAGCACTCAATTGCCAAAGACAGGGTGGCTGCACTTACCATAATGGGCAGCAAAGGAAAAGAAATGAATTGAACATTCTGACTCATGTAGATCTGTGCTCTTGGCTAATTAATTATGGTATCTCCAGAAGTCAAATAGATGGGAAACCCATCAAGATCTTACTCAACTTATATAAGCAGAAAAGTTCAAGGGCAAATGTACAAAAGCCTGTCTTAGATCATAAAAACAGAGGACCATGGCCTCTCAACCAATTGAGCTAGTTTTCAGACCTAGAACTCCTTGAATGAAGGGGAAGTAGTTCCCCTTGAGGAAGGACCCTGGTACCTACCAAAAACATTTACTGTTAATCTTTCTCCCATCCTTCCCCAAAGGGACCTAAGGCCTTTTACCATGGTAACTATTGTTTATGGAAAAGGCAATGATCAAATCTTTGAGGACTGCTAGACATAGGCTATGAATTAACATTGGCAATCCAAAATGTCATTGTGGCCTTCCAGTAAAATGGGAACTTATGGGAGTCAGGTGATCAATAGAGTTTTGGTCAAGCTCCAACTCACAATAGATCCAGTGAGTCTCCAAACTTGTCCTGTGTTTATTTCTCCAATCCCCGAATTCATAATTGTGATAGATATTCTTAGCACTTGGCAAAACTCAGATAATTGTAATGAATGACATCAAGGTCAAATTTCAAGGGAAAATGCTAACCCAAAAAGTTAAATGGAGCATTAAAGTTGCTTTTTTTCCTGATAGCATTTGCTAATTAATGAAATGTCTCATCAGTTTTGGGGGCATTATGAAGTAAGGGGCCAGAGGTCAAAGGCCAGAGCTAGATAGTAAAAGACAAAATCAATAATTCTTAATATCTAGTGCACATAGATATTAACTGGACTGTGCTTTTCAAATACTCATTCTTGGGGAGACCCAAGATGGTGGAATAGAGGAGGTCACATTCTTAGCTACTCCATGGCATGAAACCAAGAAAGCAGACAGGCAGCTTCTCTGCAAGGTGGGTAAAAAAAAAGGTGGGGGGACTTTACTGGAACCTAAAACTGGACATTCGAAGCAGAGTGGGGACATAGGAGGGTAGCTATAATAAAATAAGGGGGAAAAGCCAGCACCGTAGCCACTGCCACAGCCAGGCCAGAAGCTCCAGCCAGAGAGAGGTCCCTCCATGAGC